AATACGAGAAAGTGCAAGGAGAGAGATAATCTAGAGAGAACTCAATGAACATCCTTTTAAACTATGATCCGTTGAAAAATTGGTACTTTCCTGTTAAAGGGAACATTCATATCGAGGTTTTTTCGGTTATCGATATTTCTGTTTCCTTTACGATCCATATTCCTTCTGTTTTAGTTAAACTAACCTAACATAACAAACCAAACTTGCCGTAGGAAATTCCGTTTGGTAACAGAAAAGGCATGTGGGAAATATCAAATGGAATTTTGAAATGTTACAGCAAGTTTCGTTAGTTATGTTAGGTTAGTTTAGAACAGTTCCATTTCAATATATTTTTTTAATAGTTTGTTGATACTGAACAATATTTATCGTAGTTGTCATGTCAGCTGATATGTTTCAATTTGTTATCGATATATCGGATCGAAAAATAAAATATGGATATATCGAAAAATCATCGATAATAATGAATGTTCCCTTTAACAGGAAAGTACAGAAAAGTTTGCCTAAGCCCATCCATATGGGATGTCTACTTCAGTATCCATACCAAAAGTAAAAGTTCAAACTTAATCACTTCCGAAGGGACAGTACCGGCTTGTGTGTCGAGTGCTCTGCCCTACTGACCGGATGTCCGATGGTCCAGGGGCAGGCAGTTGACGACCCTGGGGTCTCCACCGCGCGTCGTGTCTCCTAGGCGTCCGCCCCACTGGCTTCCCGTCCCTCGCAGCGAGCGATGCCGTATCTGCTATACAGACTGCTGAAAGGTATGGGGGTGAATGTTGTAATTGTACTTTTATCACTCGATGTTAAATCTATTTCCAAATTAAAATACTACTAAAATATTGAAACTAATATAAACTAGCAATATAAACTAATATTGAAACTGTTTATGTTGCTAAGTATAGGTGCTATTGTATTTTGGATACTGAAGTAGACATTCAATATATAGTACTAGAGTAGCCAAACTTAATTAAAAGAAACACATTTTAATGAACCTATCACAGAGCGAGCTATTATAAAAATAGTATTTTCCCTCAGGTCCGTGAAGTTGGCGTACCCATATTAGCGTATCCACTTTTGATCATACCAATCGTTAGTTCATCGTTAGTTCTCGATAGTTCCCAAATTTTTTCGTTAGTTCTCAAAAAATAAAAAAGTTATAGCCGATTATAAGTGGGTACGCTAACTTCACACTTCCGGGTTCTAGCACGCGCCGTTTTCTGAGGAGAAATGTTTACATCTATATACCAATCGTTAGTTCTTCGTTAGTCCTCGATAGTTCCCAATTTTTTTGGTTAGTTCTCAAAAAATAAAAAAGTTATGAGGCATACAAAGTGGGTACGCTAACTTCACAATTGTACAATTTCCAGCGGGAACAGTTTTTTTACTATAAATGCCTATATCTATATACCAATCGTTAGTTCTTCGTTAGTTCTCGATAGTTCTCCAAAATTAACGTTAGTTCTCAAAAAATAAAAAAGTTACGAAGCATAAAAAGTGGGTACGCCAACTTCACAGTTATAGAATTTCCAGCGGGCACAGTTTTTTTACTATAAATGCCTATATCTATATACCAATCGTTAGTTCTTCGTTAGTTCTCGATAGTTCTCCAAAATTAACGTTAGTTCTCAAAAAATAAAAAAGTTACGAAGCATAAAAAGTGGGTACGCCAACTTCACAGTTATAGAATTTCCAGCGGGCACAGTTTTTTTACTATAAATGCCTATATCTATATACCAATCGTTAGTTCTTCGTTAGTTCTCGATAGTTCTCCAATATATACGTCAGTTCTCAAAAAATAAAAAAGTTAAGAGGCATACAAAGTGGGTACGCACACTTCACAATAATAGAATTTCCAGCGGGCACAGTTTTTTTAGTATAAATACCTATATCTATATACCAATCGTTAGTTCTTCGTTAGTTCTCGATAGTTCTCCAATATTTACGTTAGTTCTCAAAAAATAAAAAAGTTAAGAGGCATACAAAGTGGGTACGCCAACTTCACAATTATAGAATTTCCAGCGGGCACAGTTTTTTTACTATAAATACCTATATCTATATACCAATCGTTAGTTCTTCGTTAGTTCTCGATAGTTCTCCAATATTAACGTTAGTTCTCAAAAAATAAAAAAGTTAAGAGGCATACAAAGTGGGTACGCTAACTTCACAATTGTACAATTTCCAGCGGGAACAGTTTTTTTACTATAAATGCCTATATCTATATACCAATCGTTAGTACTTCGTTAGTTCTCGATAGTTCTCCAAAATTAACGTTAGTTCTAAAAAAATTAAAAAGTTACGAAGCGTACAAAGTGAGTACGGTGACTTCAAATTTATAAAATATCCTGCGGGCACCGTTTTCTGACTAAAAACGCTTATATCTATTTACCAATTTTTAGTTCTTCGTTATGTCGTGTTAGTTCCCCAATATTATTACTAGTTCTTAAAAAGTAAAAAGGCAAAAGGTCTTAAACGTGGTTATGCCAACCTCAAACCCAAATCATTCCTAGCGTGCACCCTTGTCTGACTAAAAGTGCCTATATCTTAATATTAATCGTAAGATGGGCTCACTCATTTATTTTGTTAGTTCTATTTTTTGGAAGCGTTGTCTTTTTTGGATGTTCTAATTAACTGATAATATTAACTGATATTCAACTGTTAATCATTTTAATAACGTAATCAAAATTATCACTCCTAAAAAATAATCTAACCGAGTGACACCTGCAACTACTATTGCGGATATCACAGATAAGCGCTATCCTGGAACTGATAAGCAATCCTTTCTCTTCGAGAGAATCATAATGTGATAGTTATTCTAATGTCAGTGTTACTTTGATTTTCATTGTGTGAAGATGAATCAAATTACAATGCATGGAACTAAAAATTGGTATATAGATTTAAGCGTTTTTAGTCGGAAAACGGTGCCCGCTGGAAATTTTATAATTTTGAAGTCAGCGTACTCACTTTGTATGCCTCGTAACTTTTTTATTTTTTTTTTAGAACTAACGTAAATATTGGAGAACTATCGAGAACTAACAAAGAACTAACGATTGGTATATAGATGTAAGCATTTTTATTTAAAAAAAACTGTGCCCGCTGGAAATTCTATAATTGTGAAGTTGGCGTACCCACTTTTTATGCTTCGTAACTTTTTCATTTTTTGAGAACTAACGCAAATATTGGAGAACTATCGAGAACTAACGAAGAACTAACGATTGGCATATAGATATAAGCATTTATAGTCATAAAACGGTGCCCGCTGGATATTCTATAATTGTGAAGTTAGCGTACCCACTTTGTATGCCTCGTAGCTTTTTTATTTTTTGAGAACTAACGTAAATATTGGAGAACTATCGAGAACTAACGAAGAACTAACGATTGGTATATAGATATAGGCATTTATAGTAAAAAAACTGTGCCCGCTGGAAATTCTATAACTGTGAAGTTGGCGTACCCACTTTTTATGCTTCGTAACTTTTTAATTTTTTTAGAACTAACGTTAATTTTGGAGAACTATCGAGAACTAACGAAGTACTAACGATTGGTATATAGATATAGGCATTTATAGTAAAAAAACTGTTCCCGCTGGAAATTGTACAATTGTGAAGTTAGCGTACCCACTTTGTATGCCTCTTAACTTTTTTATTTTTTGAGAACTAACGTTAATATTGGAGAACTATCGAGAACTAACGAAGAACTAACGATTGGTATATAGATATAGGTATTTATAGTAAAAAAACTGTGCCCGCTGGAAATTCTATAATTGTGAAGTTGGCGTACCCACTTTGTATGCCTCTTAACTTTTTTATTTTTTGAGAACTAACGTAAATATTGGAGAACTATCGAGAACTAACGAAGAACTAACGATTGGTATATAGATATAGGTATTTATACTAAAAAAACTGTGCCCGCTGGAAATTCTATTATTGTGAAGTGTGCGTACCCACTTTGTATGCCTCTTAACTTTTTTATTTTTTGAGAACTGACGTATATATTGGAGAACTATCGAGAACTAACGAAGAACTAACGATTGGTATATAGATATAGGCATTTATAGTAAAAAAACTGTGCCCGCTGGAAATTCTATAACTGTGAAGTTGGCGTACCCACTTTTTATGCTTCGTAACTTTTTTATTTTTTGAGAACTAACGTTAATTTTGGAGAACTATCGAGAACTAACGAAGAACTAACGATTGGTATATAGATATAGGCATTTATAGTAAAAAAACTGTGCCCGCTGGAAATTCTATAACTGTGAAGTTGGCGTACCCACTTTTTATGCTTCGTAACTTTTTTATTTTTTGAGAACTAACGTTAATTTTGGAGAACTATCGAGAACTAACGAAGAACTAACGATTGGTATATAGATATAGGCATTTATAGTAAAAAAACTGTTCCCGCTGGAAATTGTACAATTGTGAAGTTAGCGTACCCACTTTGTATGCCTCATAACTTTTTTATTTTTTGAGAACTAACCAAAAAAATTGGGAACTATCGAGGACTAACGAAGAACTAACGATTGGTATATAGATGTAAACATTTCTCCTCAGAAAACGGCGCGTGCTAGAACCCGGAAGTGTGAAGTTAGCGTACCCACTTATAATCGGCTATAACTTTTTTATTTTTTGAGAACTAACGAAAAAATTTGGGAACTATCGAGAACTAACGATGAACTAACGATTGGTATGATCAAAAGTGGATACGCTAATATGGGTACGCCAACTTCACGGACCTGAGGGAAAATACTATTTTTATAATAGCTCGCTCTGTGATAGGTTCATTAAAATGTGTTTCTTTTAATTAAGTTTGGCTACTCTAGTACTATATATTGAATGTCTACTTCAGTATCCAAAATACAATAGCACCTATACTTAGCAACATAAACAGTTTCAATATTAGTTTATATTGCTAGTTTATATTAGTTTCAATATTTTAGTAGTATTTTAATTTGGAAATAGATTTAACATCGAGTGATAAAAGTACAATTACAACATTCACCCCCATACCTTTCAGCAGTCTGTATAGCAGATACGGCATCGCTCGCTGCGAGGGACGGGAAGCCAGTGGGGCGGACGCCTAGGAGACACGACGCGCGGTGGAGACCCCAGGGTCGTCAACTGCCTGCCCCTGGACCATCGGACATCCGGTCAGTAGGGCAGAGCACTCGACACACAAGCCGGTACTGTCCCTTCGGAAGTGATTAAGTTTGAACTTTTACTTTTGGTATGGATACTGAAGTAGACATCCCATATGGATGGGCTTAGGCAAACTTTTCTGTACTTTCCTGTTAAAGGGAACATTCATTATTATCGATGATTTTTCGATATATCCATATTTTATTTTTCGATCCGATATATCGATAACAAATTGAAACATATCAGCTGACATGACAACTACGATAAATATTGTTCAGTATCAACAAACTATTAAAAAAATATATTGAAATGGAACTGTTCTAAACTAACCTAACATAACTAACGAAACTTGCTGTAACATTTCAAAATTCCATTTGATATTTCCCACATGCCTTTTCTGTTACCAAACGGAATTTCCTACGGCAAGTTTGGTTTGTTATGTTAGGTTAGTTTAACTAAAACAGAAGGAATATGGATCGTAAAGGAAACAGAAATATCGATAACCGAAAAAACCTCGATATGAATGTTCCCTTTAACAGGAAAGTACCAATTTTTCAACGGATCATAGTTTAAAAGGATGTTCATTGAGTTCTCTCTAGATTATCTCTCTCCTTGCACTTTCTCGTATTTCAATTCTGTAAATTTTGAAACTTGGTAAATCGTTGAAGGGACAGCAGCGGACAGCTCGAGTCGTACATGCATACCACCACATACAAGGGAATCTGCACACGTGTGTATTGTTTATATGAACCGGAATATTAACTAGAAATGCATTACGTGTAAGATCAGACGCTATTATGTCATTGTTTAATTTGCCATGGACATTAGAAAATTAATTTTAAGTGCATAATTCATCAAACAATGAGAGTCCTGTACTCTTACGTTGTTTGATAATGTCAAGAGTTTAGCATACCTGTCGTTCTATTGAAAACCCAGAAACCTATTTGACGTGTGTTCATGTTGGTTACGTTAGAGCATAGACTAACCAACACAAGTAAACTTCTCATCCCATTGTAAATTTGAAGCTCGTTTTTCGTGTCTAGTCATGTCCGGTGAGTATCGACGAAAGTGGTTCTATTATTTTAGGGTTAATTTCATGATTTGTGTTTTACTTTTTAGTTGTAGTTATTGTTTATGATCTGGTCATTTTATTTGGCTAAACGAGGTTTTGAATTACTGAAATAACAAGAAACAAATTGTAAACAAAACACGACTCTATAGTGTACCGGACAGAACTAACAAAAAAATTGGCTTCAGCTGTTCCATAAGGATGAGAAATCTACTGTTAGAGAAAATCAACGTGAACTAGGCCTAAAGGTTTTCTCTTGATTTAGAGTAGGCCCTATATTTTGCAATTTTTCTACTCTCTTTGCTTTATAGAAGCAACAAGCATTAGTTACAAATATTGTTGTATTTAAGTTGTTGTTGGTCAATTTAGGAGAAAAATAGAAAACAACCAAAGTGTCATGGATTAATAAACATGTCAGGACATTCTTTATTATTTTGTCTGTTTCAAAATAATGGTAAATCTGGTGAGTGTATTTAATCTACGATATTGTTATTTTTTAAGCCCACATAGCTGCCCTAGCCCAACCCACATGGCCATGTTCCTTGATATACAAGTGAGCTAGCGTGTCAACAATACCACCACAAACACATAACATAACACACCACATGCAAACATTCATACAGTTAAGTCAATCAAATACGACAAAAATAATAAGGATGGTAGTCTAATTAAATGGAAACAGTCTATTTACTGCAGATTCTTTTTCGATCTTTGGAATGATGATATAACATGAACCTTTTAGGACATAAAATTCGAGATTATTCATTGTGTAGCAAGTTCTATGCTTTGTATAATCCATCTATACGCCTTCAAAATACATCAATTTTGTGGTATTACATACGGTATATGACCATGTGCATTCATTCAAAGACCCTAGTTATTATTTTTATTTTAATTAAAAATCACCTACCGGTATTTAAAACAGTTTTCTTTCTATGTTAATATTATAGTGTAACGTAATTTAAGGTTTTTGCACAAACTAAACTTTAAATTATCAAAAGCAGTCCTACGTAGAGAGTATGCTTGTTCCGATTACGCCTACGCTTGATTAAGGAAATTTCGGCATTGATTTTACGCTCCATTCATTTCGCGAAACAAAAATAGCGACACCAATTTACGGAGACCTTGTAGTACAGTTTGGCTCCAGTCCAGTCCGATGTCGGCGAATCTACTTTGCCGACCAAACTGTCTGTAAGTCTTGGCAAGGCAATAAGCGACTCCTTATACCAAACCAAGCGACCACGACGTTCAGACATGTCAAGGTAGAAGTGTTGATTTCGAGGAAAAATTCTCAAAAATTCAAATTGTTTGATGAGAACTGTCTTTGGTATTTCTTTCGGAAGATTGGACAGAGAACATAATGTCCATGGGATAAAACCTCTAGTGGGACGGTTGATCATAATTGTGTAAGCAAGTTTCATAGAAAAAAGTTATAACGCTAAGCTAGAGTAGACCTAATACTGTACTGTACATGTAAAAACTGCTTGAATATGAAAAATAGTAGAAATTACGGATTTCAATGTTCAAATTACCCAGCCTTTAGCCCTCCCAAGTTCCAACCATGGTTATAGCATACCCTACCTACAAAGTATTATTAATCTTTGGTTATGTAAAGTAGTATTTTTTATCTGTGTTTATAGTCAGTTTCGAATGAAAATAGACGAAGTTGCATGGAGTATAACAAGAGGACAGAGGGTACTGCTTTCAATTACTGTACTGATTTTTTCATATTCATCGACTTTCAAACTAAGCCAAACAAGGGGCAACTAACATAGTATATTAAACAATCTCATATTTTATATCCAAATCAATCGTAAGGGTTTCGAAAACTAAGAGAGAAAAATAATTTTTACAGAAGAACATTTTATTAGCGGCTCTTCAACCATCTTAATTTTTATAAACATTTGGCTATTGCTGGTTCATCTCGACAACGGTAGTGTACAAAAACGTGGAACGTAACGTTCACGTACAACAAATAGAACAAAAAATATAAACTATTAACTACTTCATTGTATTTTTTTTATGAATTAATATTTTCGTTGTTAACAAAAAACCCATGTCACAAAATCCTTATATATAATACGTGAATGCGACTTATACGAAACACTACTCCTCCGTTAATAATGGACGGATTTTTACAAAATATGTGTCAAAATTAAGTATTTTTTGTGTAGACCCCCTTTTACCAATTCCTGTAATAAAAGGTCTCGGGCTTTGCCCCACAGGCCATCATAATCCCAATGTATTTCTTACTAGCTGTGTGCCCGTTCTACGCACGGGGATCTTATAGTAGTCAGTTGAAACCTTCTTATATTAAGATTAAGAACAGCAATTAGTTTGCATATTTGCAGATATGCTGGCAAAACTATTATATATAAACCTTCGCAAATACAGTATCTGACAGTTCAAGCCAAAATAAATGCTTCGCAATTAAATGTCACCCGGATCGTGTTGGTCCATATGTCCAATGATTAAACTTAAAAATGTTTTATAGATCCATGAAGCGTAGCCCTAAAGTAGGCCTATAATTGAAAGTTACTTTCCACATCGGTTAACTTAAACGTATTTAAAGTACTACCTCAACCTCACCATTTAACACTTTATTCCGGTTGACATTTTCAGTATCAAAGGTGCTCTTGTCCATTCCGTGAAACACTGAGAAATAAGGACATTAATGCGTTACCAACATACAACAAAACAACACAATACAACAATCCAACAAAGGCCACGAACTATTGATACATAAACAATATAAAGGCGTAAACAATTCATGATGGTTTGCCCAACAAATGTTTTACTCAAATAGGTTAATCATTTTCTTAGCATACCGGGTAAGCTAAGATTTGGAATCCAGTCAGAAAAAGCAAAACTTATACAGAGTTAAGACATCGCTTAAATTGAATACGGACGGCTCTAATAAATAAGGTGCAACACCAACGATATCTAATTTGTAAACTACCGGTTCTAAGGAAAAGAACCAGTACCTACGTAAGAACCTACCTAAGAATTACAGTAAATCGGACCAATTAAATACATTAATATCTAGTCCCGAGGTTATTGATCTCTTGCTTTTGGATTTTCTCGTAAAAAGTTATAGCGTAAACTTATCGGTGTCAGTTTGAAAAAGAAGCAACCTTACCCAAACAACTTTTTGTTATTTAATAGATTACGCATTCTCTAAACAATGATTAGTATATCTATTAACATTAGAAGGAAATGTGACGAAAATCACACAATGTTGGGGGTTTGGTCATTTGTAATTTTATTTTTTAAGTAGGTAGGCCATGTATTCTATGGAAAAGTACCGGTATCAAGGATCGTCGTCAAAAAGGTTGTTATGAATAAATATGTAGGCTTACGTACCCAAGATATGAGCTATGGGCCTATTGGCTGTATGGTCCAGCGATTGCATCACACGGTGAGTAGAAACAGAAAGTGACACATTGGAAAAGCGAGTTTAGCACTTCCTCTGTTAAACCTCTGTTACAATCACCCACTGCAGTTGTGATTTTTTACTTTACACTTTACACAATCGCCATTGAAGCGCCGTCAATGAGTGGAAACCTTTTTTGTAAGCTATTGGCGACGATCATTTCAGTGTCACAGCCCTATACAACACTGATTCAAGGTATTCTTCTTTCTGGTTGTCAAAACTCAAGAAACATTTTATACTCAAAGAATTTCTGGTTCCGATTTGGACGATGTCTAGTTATTTAATTTCATTTACGGTTACACTATTATACTATATTATTGCACTTGCGATTAATTAAATCCGTTATGTAAGAAAAACGTTTTTAATCTCACTTGGTTGGGATTTGCATTCAAAACGTGATTCGAAATGGTTGCGGTATTTGTAAACAACATTTGTAAACATATCATTGACAGCTAGAAAAAATAATCTTGATCCGAACAGCTGTTCGTTA